GATAGTAGCAGAACGTTGGCGCCACTGGAAGTACTAGATTGCAGAAACTTTTCCAGCAGCCTACGTATATTTCAAACTAATATGTGGCCTGTTCTTCTTGGCTGAACTTTTGCACCAGTTCATCTTTCTTCCTTTTTTTTTCTCCTGGAGAGAAAAGGAAGAAAGATGAACTGGTGCAAAAGTTCAGCCAAAAAGAACAAGTCTCTTGTTGATGATCATATCGATATTTAAAAAAAAAGGAAAGTAACTTTTGCATTTAATAGGTCTGTCGCGTTGCATGAAATCCCCAAATATTTTTGCACTTAAAATGAGATAAATATTATATATATTTGACCTTGAAAAGAGAGAAAGCGAAGATGCCGAGTGCCAAAAGTGCAAGCAACGCGAACAGACCTAATTACATTGACTCAGAAAACAGGGACATTTCAATTGCAACAATATGTTAACTTTGCTGCAATATTGCTGAAATGTTCTATATGTGGACTTATAATTAGTATAGAATATAACATGTAGATATGCAATACTTTGAAAAAGATTATTCAAATCTCTCAAAATTGATATTCATATTATATTAATGGCTATGTTTACACCGTGCATTTAGGCCGCGGCCTATACAATAGATGTTCTTGTTTATTCTGTTGGTTAAACAAAGACACCTATCGTATAAGTCGCGGACTAAGCGCACGGTGTAAACGTAGCCATTGCTTTGAAGCGTTTGTAGCGTCAAGTGGACCGCAGCCGAAGAAATACATTCATCACCGTTTGATACTGGTGCAAAATGCATCTGAACGAAATTATACGAAACTATACGGAAAGGCACGAGAATACATATGAGGAATGTCTTATGTCATCTCCATTCTTCAAGTTCAGACTTCAGTCTTGGTCAGTATCTGGCAAATAATAACATAGTGTTTATCGGTATCTTCAACATAATTTTTTTATATTTACATTTTCGGCTTCCAATGTGACTTATAAAATATATATTGCGTATCGAATTAATACGCATATTGATATTGATACTATCAATTGAGAGGACACAATAAAACCAAATCGAGCGAATCACATTCAACAAACATTCACAGTGATCGTGTATACAGAAGTAAACATAGCATTTTTTAAGTACATGTATAATGTCAATTATAAAAAATAAGATATCAAAACTTCAGCAGATGACATGGATACTGTTCGTGATCCATATTTGAGACACTTGTTCGATGGTGACCCAATATTTAATGTCTACAATACGGAGGCTACAAACTTGTCGGTCGGAGCACCCGGTCCTGACCTATTAAAACATTGTGCAGAAATACTGAATAAATCGACGCAACATAGATTGGTAAAAATCAATCATTTTAATATTGTATTTATTAAATTTGTTAAATATTTAAATATATTTAAGGCTTCTGTTAACTCACCACTACTATCTTACATGTTACAAATTGTGACGAGAAATTATACAATAAAAATTCTTATAGAAAATTATATTTGAATTAGAAATATTTTTTAGTAAAACAACGTTTGCAATCGAACGGATTTAAAATGTACTAATTTTATATTAAAATGTAATAGTAACATATTTATAATTAATTTAATAATTATTAATATTGTTGCTTGCATTTATTGAACATTTTATGAGTTATTCTAGAAACTCTAAGAAATTCTAAATAAAATATTTATTGATATTTTATAAACATTTATATTGATGGAAATAAATGTCGCCGTAGGAGGAAGAAAAAGAGGAAGGAAAATATTACCTCTTTCAATATGGTATTACGGCAGGGCTTTGGGAATGTCGTGATGAATTAGCTAAATTTTTAAGCAGGCGATATGGCAATTCCGTAATGAGAGAGCACTTAATATTAACATGCGGAGCATCACATGGTCTTCAACTATTATTGAATACTGTACTCTCACCAAATGGTATTATTTTTGTAGAGGAAGTTACTTATATGATTGCTCTAGATGCTTTTAAACAATTTCCCTTAATGCGAATAGTTACAGGTACTTGATACTATACATATATTTGTAAAACAAAAATAATATCTGAATCTGTTACTTAAACATATAAACAATACCTCTACAAGACACAACATTCCTAGAATGTTATATAAATATTAAAAAGTCCTTTATTATTGTTTTTATTTCATATAGTGCCAATGAAGGATGACACAGTAGATCTAGATGCATTGGAAAAAATAATAATTGAAGAGAGAGAGAAGACAAAAGGCAACTTTTTTCTAAACGATCAAAAAATATTTTGGGCGATGTTCTATACAATACCAATTTTTCATAATCCAACCGGAATGACATTGTTGCCTGGTAATTTAAATATTGTGGTTCCATTATATTCTTTTTTAATCAATAAATTGAAATTTTGTTCTTTTAAAAAACAAAAATTGATAAAAATATCTAAAATATATAAAAGTCTAGTGTATTGTTTTTGATGCGTTAACAACGTAGATTACTTTTCTCCGTTTTATTTTTCGGTAGATCAGTGCAAACGTTTAGTGGAGATTGCACGAAACAATTCCATAGTGGTAGCCTGCGATGACGTATATAATTTGCTTTATTATGAGCAAGGATTTCCGCCACGACGCTTATTTTCTTACGATGATCCACAAGATTCAAACTATAAAGGAGGGAATATTGTATCAAATTGTTCGTTCTCTAAAATTCTTTCACCAGCGATTCGCTTTGGCTGGCTCGAATGCAGTGCGCGTATAGTGAATATTGTAAAAACATCGTAAGGAATCTTATTCTCTCTCTCTCTCTCTCTCTCTTTCCAGAACAAGTTGTATTATACGAACCATTTATTGAATCAAATTCGTTTTTATTAATAATTTACATGAAAGTCTGTTAATTATTAAATATTATTAATGCTTTATGTAGATATATTATTTATGCATTATAACGTAAATTATATTGATCAGCTAATATTGTAACTAATATTATTACAACTGTTTTATTGTATGATTTTAACTATTTTAGAGGCATAATGTGCAGCGGTGGTGGAGTTAATCATTACGTTTCCGGAATAATTGCGAGTATGCTTCATGAAAATCTCGAAGACGAGTATCTTGACAGAATTATAAGGATCTATAAGGTATGTTACATCATGCTTATATTATAAATATCTTCATGTTTCAAAAGTATAATATCGCTATCTTAAAACAGTAATATATAATTATACAAAAATCATTAACACAGCCATAAAAATAGATTATGTATGCTTTCATAATTTTATAATTATTTCTTTTAATTATTTAATAAAAGAATTTAATAAAAGAATTTAATATAATAATTAAGAATATATATAAAATAAAATTATTTTTATATTCTTTTATGTTTTTATTTAATATAAAAGCTAGAATAAAATAAATAAAAATAAAATAAATAAGAGTCAATTTATAGGAACGATTAGATACACTTTGTGCAACTTTGAATCAATTTTTGCCAAACTGTTGTTCATACCAGCGACCAGGAGGAGGTTATTTCGTTTGGATACATCTTCCCTCGGGTATAACGAATATTTTTTCTTATATAATATTTAAAATATAATAGTCATGAAATAGCCATATTGAAATAATTATGAAACAATAATTGAATAATTATGCTCGAATATATAACCTTATAAAATAATTATACATTTTTAATATTGTAAAATAATTATACAATTTTTATATTGTATTTTTATAGTTATACTTTTATTATACATATGTATACTTTTACTAATTTATTTAATTTTTTAAATAAAATTATATGCTGTTTTTAAAGATGTAGATGCTACTAAATTCATCAAATGGTGTCAAAAGGAATACAGTGTATCAGCGATACCAGGTGCTCGTTTTTCATATACAGGTAAAGCAAAGAATTTTTTACGTGTAAGTATAAGTTTTCACACAAAAGAAGTTTTGAAAACTGCGACACAAACTTTATGCAAGGCACTTTTAACATATATTAAACATCAAGTTAAATGTACAAAAGATATTACAAATAAGAATGATTCATAAAAACATAATCAAATTATTTTTTAATTAGATTAAAATTTGAAAAAAATTATAAAAATTATGTCAAATACAGAGAGAGAGAGAGAGTAATTTTAGATCATTTTGTTATCGACTTAGATTTTATAAACAAAATAAAAAAATAAGTATTACAGGATAAAAATTTATACATATATATAAAATCTAAGATGTATTTTATAAAATCTCTATAAAAAATGTATTTTTTAAATATTTCATATACATTGTAATTAGTCTAGTTTTACAAATTATAACTGTTATATGACGTAATACAGTAATTAATCATAAAAGTTGTAAATTTATAATTATAATAACTTATTTACAAACTTAAGCAAAGGTATTTTAAAAACTATGAATTAAAAAATGACACTAAAATTTTGATTAAAAAATTTATATTATTTGGATAATTGTTACAAACATACTTTTCTTCAAGTAATCTATGTTTAGGATATAAATTTCTATAATTAGGACGTACAATTATTCTCAAATGTAAGCCAAACTTTATAATACAATTGCTATTTTTATTGTGAAACTCTGAAAGAATTTTGTATAATGGCCTGTACAAAGTGTCCAAGAGAACATTATTGTATAAAATAAACAAATGTTTCAATAAATTTTATTTTCGATTAGAATTCTTTGAAGTTCTTTATTGTTTATTTTTATTATTAATTCTCAGATTCTTTAAGCAACTGCAATCCTAAACATCGCATACCACAAAAAATATGATACATACATATTATACATGCATGTGTTTAACATTGTATGTACATATCCATATAATCGTCCATATACGTGTATATATATATATGTATATCCATCATATATACATATATAATGTATAAAAGTACTGGATAATAAAATATATTATAAAAGTATGAGTATATATTTCTTTTTATTACATAATTAAATTATATACATTTGTATACAGTAAAAAGCAACATAATTCAAATTCAAAATTACAAATTATTAAAATCAAATTTATTCAGAATCACCTAATAACTCTTTTTGTTTAGTTTCCAACATTTGTTCAGCTTTATTCATGTACTGATGACTAAGAATATCTATATAACTTTCTATTCTGAACACTAGATCTTTAGCTAGTTTTTCCTTTTCTTTTACTGCCTTAATTTGTTTATTGCGTACCAGTCTAACGTTGTCACAACATTTAACATAAAAGCTCTTTGCATTTTTAGATAATGTTTCTCTGTGTTCCTTTGTTACTCTGTAATATAGAAATATACATATATATGTTTTTGTATTAATCTAAACCAAAACAATTTAATTTTTTTCTTATTAAGATAATAGTATTAATATTATATATATATATATATATATAGATTATCTTCTAAAAAACTTACTTAGGAACAGGAACATAAATTGTGGTCCCATCTTGTTGTGGATTTAGCTTCATCTGATTTTTCGAAAGGCTTTTTAAAATATCTGGGATAGCTTGTGGAAAAGTAGATACATTCAGCACTATCAATTTAGGCTTACGACTAATTTGTGCAAGCTCTTGTAATGTGAAATCTTTGCCTTCAAACTTGACAGACAACATTTCAATGGCACCTACACTTGATCTTACTGACAAATGTTGAATAAAATCATTTTTTAATCTTTCAATTGCATTATCGAGTTGAGATATTAATTTATTAACATCAACAACTTGTTCAAATTCATTATAATCAATATGTTGTGTCTTCTGTTTCTTTTCGCCACGATCTTTACTCTTTGCCAATAGATCGGAGGTCATAGAAAAATCTCTTGCATTATTCGTTTTGATGAAATTGCAAAGAGAAAAATTTGAAATATTACAATACTGAATGATTTGCAGAGGTTTTTGTTGGCTCTGAAGATAATATATTACTTTATTTGATGAACAATGATGTACATATTTTTTTCTTAGTTTTAATGCTGAAATTATTGTATAATTTTTTAACTGACTATTAGCACAGAAACGTATGCCTATTAAACTTCCCATTTTTTAATAATCATAAAATGTTCAATACAACTATATACAGTATTATATTATATTTATATTCAATATATTCGGATATTTATTTAGTAGTATTCGTGCTTTTAAACAATATACATATACACGCGATTACTAATTTGATCGTGCATAATTATATTGTATTGAAGTTCGAGTACCTAACCTTAAATAATAATACATCCAGAGAAAAACGTGAGAGCGGCCATCCCGGCCTTTTTCCTGTCTTCTTCTAATTCCCCGTACACTAGCGACACCAACGTCCATTTTCGAGCTGCGGGAACTACGTACCACGACGATTTCGAGCCCCCCCCCCGGTCTCGCCGATAAAATCGTATCGTCGAAAGTGAACGTGGTACACTACAAATTATAGATGTGAAGAAAAAACTGTTTTTCGACATTGTTGATAAATAAATTTATATTATGATGCTACAGCCACGAATTGCGGATTATTTCTTAAACCTTATTTCTTAGGCCGATATTCATAGTCAGATCTTATATTCAAGATCGTCTTAAGTACAGTCTTAAGAAGTCACAAACCAATCAGAGGCCGGTATTCATAGTCGATTCTTATTTCAAGATCGTCTTAAGTAATGTCTTAATACGCTAATGTGGCTCTCTTATTGGTTCGTAACACCTCAAGGCTGAACTTGAGATGATCTTGAATATAAGAACTGACTATGAATACCGGCCAGAGAGCCATATTAGCGTCTTAAGACATTACTTAAGACAATCTTGAAATAAGAACGGACTATGAATATTGTCCTTAAACCAAGTTTACTACGTATATGTAGACGGGTTATTAGGCTACCTTCTCATGGAGAAAGAAACAACAGAACGGAATATTGGCTGCGTTCAGCAGAACGTTCGTTTTGCAACTGTTGGAAGTTTCCTTTGCGCTAATTGGATCATACTTTTAGATCTAGAAGAATGGTCCTATCTCAATAGACAATCATAAAACGGTTGCAAAACTGTTGAGTCTGCTGAACGCAGCCATTTACGATGGACTCGCTACATCGTGATTGGTTGAAATAGAACCGTTAATCGTAATTGTCAATCCGTAGTCTGATATGGGCATAAGGCCGGAATTCATAGTCGGTTCTTATAGCGTTTTCGGTCCGATCGGGTTTGCATCAACCTGGGTTGGATTAATCTTTCCATCGGTTGACGTTACACGCTCTACTAATAGGAGAGCACAAAACGCCATTAATCCAACCCAGGTTGATGCAAACCTGGCCGAAAACGCTATTAGTCTTAAGATGCTAATACAGCTCTCTGATTGGTTCATGCACTAGCTTAAGACCATCTCGAATCTTAAGCACTGTCTATGGATTCCGCCCTATTTTAGGCGGGATCGGCCATATTGGCTCCTGTCAGTTGGCGCATTTTTCAAAACCAACGATATTAAATACCACCGACGAGATACTATTAAAGACCGTCAACCCTGGGCAAATTTTCAGCTGTATAAAAAGGGCCTCAAGGGCCCGGAAGTAATCGAAGAACGCTGACATTATCGACAATTGATATAAATTTGCTATTATTAACATAAATATTTGACTAATACATTATTAAATTCAAGATATTTTATTACATAATGTTCTATAAATAAATATGCATATTTGTAAAGCTATAATATCCTATATATTGCCGAAAAATTACAATTTTTTTCTCTGCAGTTATTATCTCTGTTGATAATCGAACTTTGACGATAACACTGAAATCACAATTTTAAAGAAAAATCGAGTATTATTGAGTTTTAAATGCACGTACACCGATAATCATGTCTACTAAACTAATAAATCATAAAATTAGTACAATATTATCAGTTTTTTTACTCTTAATCACTTTAATATTAACAAGGACGCGAACTCCCATAAGGATGTCGGTCTTTCATAATATCTACATCTCGTCGGTGTAAATACACAATTGTGCCAATTCAGAAGCAAACCTAAAAGTATTATTATGCGCACAATTTAACAATGCCAAAGTTTTATTTACAAATGATTAAAATAATTTCAGAAATACACGTTTAATATATAGCGTTTTTGACCCGGCCGGGTTTGTACCAACCTGGGTTGGATTAATGGACGCGTTCAAGTTGACAAAGCGGCTAACCTACTCGCCGAGCAAATGAACATAATTGGTTATTACTTTCAGATCCAACCAATCATATTCAATCGCTCGATAAGCATGCTTAGCCGCTTTGCCGTCTTGAACTCGCCCATTCTTTCCTATTGGTTAACGTTACACGCTCTACCAATAGGAGAGCATAAAACGCCATTAATCCAATCCAGATTGGTGCAAACTCGGCCGGGTCAAAAACGCTATTTATCAAATATTTAATCATCATATAGTATTGTGTTTCAAGATTATTCTCTGGTGCTCTGTTGTTTCGAGTCTGTGTGAAATTCTGAATGAAACACGAAAGAGATTCAAAAATTAGTCTCCGGATTCCGCAATATGATTTGTGATATTTTTTGTAAAAAAAAAAATATATAGAATCCTAAAACGCAATACTATGAAGAGTACATATTTGATAAAGAGATTCAATCGCTTTGCAACCATACTTTACTATGGTAGGAGCATGTTGGAGCATGTTGGAGCTTGCGACGCGAACAAACCTTTAGATACGGATCGCGCAGTCCATTCTGTCTTTGGTTCTTAAACTGGAAATACAATAGACACAGGCAATAGGCATAAGCAACAGGGAATAACGAACCGTCCAATCAGAGCTCTGGGGTATAAGTTCGATGTTATATCTCAGGCTGGTATTTATAGTCGATTCTTATATTTAAGATTGTTTTAAGTGCAGTCTTAAGATATCACGAACCAATCAGAGGACCGTATTAGCGTCTTAAGACATTACTTAAGACAGTCTTGAAATAAGAACCGACTATCGGTAAGAGTATCGTCCTCAGAGCTCTGATTGAACGGCTCGTTATTCCTTGTTGCCTATGCCTAATGCCTGTGCCTATTGTGTTCATGGCCGGTATTCACAGTCAGATCTTATTTCCGTCAAGACCGTCTTAAGTAATGTCTTAAGATGCTAATACAGTCCTCTGATTGGTTCGTGACATCTCAAGACTGAACTTAAGACGGTCTTGAATATAAGAACTGACTATGAATATCGGACTTTACTTACTCCGGATCTACAATAGGTGTTTTAAGCCTTAAGTCGTAAGAAATTGACCAATCACAGTCGAATTCGAGGAGAATAATCGACTATGATTCGTCTATTTCTTATGGCTTAAGGCTTAAAACTCTATTGTAGATCCGGGGTTATGGATCCATAAGTATTCAAGCTGTAGCAAAAAAAAATTACGTGAATGTAAGTTTACACATAAAATATATGCATATTTGATGTTATCTTTATATCCGTATTTTATGGATGTAGCCGGACTCGCACATCATTTTCGACTTTATTAGCATTGGCGACTTTATTAGCATTGGCGATAAGATGATACATAGTTGGTTAATGTAGTTAACGTAGTTGGTGTCACTAGTTGTATGGGAGCTTCCAACGCTTACAAGAATCAGAATCACATGAAAAAGGCCGGGATGGTCGTTCTTAAGTTTCTTTCTGAATTTGTAATGTGTATCTATCAGTAGACTATCAGATTTTAGATTCAGTTCCTAAATTGTTTCTTAATTCTTGTGGCAGTATTACGCTCACGTTTTGGTTACACATCAAAAACCTATACTAGCAAACCATTGTGCGGTATTGCCATTAATTAAAGAGGAATTTTACACCTCTCATTCACATTAAAAAAAGGTATGTACAAGAAAAACGTGATATTAACATTCCTAAACTAAAAGTAAATTCAAATTATATTTTTGTTTATATTTAAGCATTTTAAACAATTTAAGAATTATATAATATATATATATATAGATATTACTATTTTTAAATTGTATAATACATGTTATTTTTATATTTTTTATGTAAAAAATATGTACGTAAGATGATAATTAATCTTAATATACACTATTTTGATTGTTGAGAGCATAGTTATGGTTATATATGACTCACTTATCATATGCATATGATATATTTATGTATATCATATATGTATAAATATATGTATAAATATATGTATACATATATGTATACATATGTATCAATATGGACTGTTATTTAAAAATTAGTGCTAGTACTAAAAATCTACAATGCACGTAACGTAAACTACAGATTTTCAGTACTAGCAGTAGTTTTTGGAACACAATCTTTATAATATATAATATTGATTTATAAGTTTACATGCTGTATTGTTTATTTTATCTTGAGAATTTTTTCAAGGTTTTTTTTTTATTTTCTATTTCATTTTCTTGCGATTGTATTTTCTTACACTCTTTTTCTTTCTACATTTACAATAAAATGGATATATATTCAAAGTTTTTAAAGAGAAAGAAAAAAGATAAAAAGTATAATCAAATCACGAGTTCTATTTTGATAAAGTTAGAGTAGTTGATCTTTTTGTAAAATTAAAGCAATATCTTTACTGCAAGTAAAATGTAAAATATAATTATAGGTTAACAATGCTACAAATATTTACATTCTTTGGTGTATTTCATCCATATATCGTTGGAACATTTGTGTCAAATTTTATAAAAAATTGTAAGTGTCCCAAAAACAGTCCATTCAAATTTATGCGTTAATTTAATACAAGATGAATATGTTACAAAGTAACACAAATATTTAAAAATATAAACATAAAAAAGTATATACTGATACAGTTTATGTAAACAAACTATGGAAACATATTTTTTTTCAATAAAATTGACATTTATGCTATGATAAGTTAATACATATTTTATTCATTCATCTTAGAATTTACATTTGTAAACATATTATTTTAATGTTATTTGTTTACTTACTCATAAAATGTGTTATTTTAACAATAAAAAATGTTGGATATCAATTTAACACAAACTATTTAAATAACATAATCACATTATGTTAAAATAACACTCATTATTAAAAATAACACTCAAATATGTTAAAAAATTTAACAAAATATTAACAAGGACTTAAGTAGACCATTTCCAATACAAA